CATGAACCGAAAACTATCGATAAAACGGAACTGAATAGGATACTCATTAATATGTTTTGTAAATGAGATGTACTTTTCCTTGGTAATTGGCAGTAGATCAATGGATCCATTCATTCTGGTTGCAATATCGGTAATAATGAAGTGAGCATCATAACCACTTAAATTATGGAAAACGGCTGGGACTGTTGAAATTGATATTGCACGCTTCATGGGCGGGGCCTCGATAATTAAATTCGGGGATCATATGAATATGATCACGCACTTTCTTATCTTCAGGTGTAAATGGTTGTTCACATATATGACAATAAGTTGCTTTTTGAAATTCTGCTTCCTGAGTAGGAGTCATGTGGATATCATAAGGACACCAAAAGACAGTTGCTATATCTTCAGCAAGTTGTGCCATTTCATCAGTGAACCATTGCATGCAATCAAAACCTCGATATGATCGATAAAACGAAATGGAATTATCATAAGAGCACTTTAAGTAATAACCGACAGCAGCAGGAATATGGTGTTGAGGTTTTTTAGGATCATTCGTCGGTTTAAGAACACTCTCAAGATCAGCATAAACAACAAATGGAACTTTTTCCTTGTTTTTAAAGTTTTTAAATTTGAGAATGTTTTTTCCAGGTTCGGGCATTTTAATAGCAGTTTCATTTAATTTTTCACAATCTTCAATATGGCTGTTTAATTTTGATTCGGAACGGAAATAATGAAGACACCGATCACAGAAGTATTTTTGTCCATGTTCCTTACTTAGTTGTTTGGAAAGAAGACGAGAAAGATTTTTAATCCAAACAAAGTGATATTTTACATTCTCTCCCTCCTCATACTACTTATCCTGAATAAGCAATAGGTTTACATGTTGATTTTTCTTATCTTTAGTAAGATAAGTGGGAAGAGTAATAAAGGATTTTTTTCTGTTTTTGGAGGATATAAACATTTATGGAAACATTATTTTGAATTTCGAAATTTGGAATTTGCTTGGAGGTCATTGGAAAATGAATACCTTTTAATTTGAGAACAGTTGAGTAGTGAGGGTAAGATGAAACTCTATCTGAATTTTTATGAATAGGGTATAAAGCAGATGTAACAGCCCAAGCGAAGCATTCATTATCATTGTTCTTAATATTAATAATAATAATAAATGCTTTTATTGGCCAAACTAAGTACCTGATACAAAGAAAGAAAAAAAATATATAAATACAAATAGTTTGCCAAATGGCAGAGTTCAAAATCTCTGATAAAAATCAGAGTTTTGCTCTTCCACTCAACCAGTATTATGATAGACATACCTATACATCTTTCGATTTATAGATGTGCCCTGCATGTTCACTTAATAATTATTCAATCTAGAGCACAATATGGCTTTACGAATATGAGAGAAAAAAATATTGAAAACCCAAAACCGTAAACAACTTAACATCTTAACTTAAAAAATAAAAAAATAAAAATCAGCCAGATGAGTAAGAACCAGTAAGTATATCAATAATAACATTACAATAATACTAATATAATAAAAACGAATATAAAATTTAAATTTATCTAAAAACTATAACTATCGACCTACAGAATTTATTAGTAATTTTCTATCTAGCATTACATTTTTTAATTTATACTTGAATAATATATGATCTGTGAATAATTTCAAGTCATCGGGTAACCAGTTGTACAACTTAACAATGTTATAAGAAAAGCAGCCTTCAAACAAAACTGATTTATGTTTTGGCATAGTTAGACAACCTCTATTCCTTAAATTTAAATTATGGACGTCCGTTCTGAATCGAATTTTACTATATAAATAAGCTGGTGTTTCAGTAACTATAATTTTGTGATAAAGTAAGCATTCATGTAAAACTCGTCGTTCTGCTAAATTTAACCACTTCAATTCCTTTAAATATTTTGAAGTTGGTGTGCACCTTCTCAAACTATAAATAAGCCGAATACAACAATTTTGTACTCGCTGTAATCTTAATTGATCCCTTTTCAAAAGTCCAGGCCCAAATACTACATCCCCGTAATTTAAGTGGGATAACACGAGTGCTTCACAAAGCATGATTTTTGTTTTTTTAGTTAATACACCCCTGCTACCATATATTAGTTTTAGATTTGCAAAAGCTCTTCGAAGCATCATTGTGACATGAGATGTAAAACGTAGATCGGAGTCAACCATCAAGCCTAGGTTTTTGACAGAGTTTACGATATTTAGCTCATCTCTTCCTACATTTATTTTTAATTTTCCGATACATCTATTTCTAAGAGCGCTTTTTCCAAAAAGTATGGCTACTAATTTAGTGCTATTAATTGAAAGACAAAATTTATTTGACATATTAATGAGAGACTCAATATCTTGATTGATCTGTTGGCAAGCAATATCGATGTTTTCCTCAGAAAATGTATGATACAATTGTGTATCGTCAGCATAAAAATGAGACGAGCAGAAATTTAGTTTTTTATAAAAATCTAATGTGTAAATTATAAATAAAATAGGACCTAAACTGGATCCTTGCGGCACTCCATTGTTTACTTGTGAAAACACAGAAGAAGACGAATTATAAATTACAGCTTGTTGACGATTGCTCAAATAATTACGAAATAAATTAATACTATTATTATCACAACCTATGTAATGCAAAATTGATAAGAGTAATTGGTGATTTATTCGATCAAAAGCCTTCGAATAATCTAACAAAATTAATACATTAATACATGCTTCTTTTCGTTTAATTTGAGGAGGAAGTTCTATGTACGAAGATCCAAGTTGAGGAGTGAATTTGTTTATGTTTACACCTAAATTAACAATTCGTTTTAGTGGCCAGCCACTATCACGTTCTTGAAATTCTTCAAGCTCATTCATGATAGGTTTAATAACCTTTTCATCAAACCATTTATCAAGATTGGTGTCTCTATAAATTGGTGAATTAGAGGTAGTAAAGTACTTGTACTCATTAAGTACACGATCTCCCTTTACCATTTCAAACTCACCACCAAACGTTGTGTTAACCTTCACAGCAGCATCTTTTCTTAAAACATTCTGTATCCTACGTTTAAAAAGAGCCTTAGCATCAATCAGGAACGCTTTGGGATCCTTATGATTCATATTTGATATTACTCCCGTCAAGATGCGACTGCTAAATGCAGTATCGGAATCATCCCATTTCACACGTTCTCTGGCACCCTCTGCTCGCAGCCCAGCCCCCTTTTTCACCATAGCTTTTACCTGGTTACGATAAGTTTTAATGTTTCTGAGGCAAGCTTCTAGATGCTGTTTTTCACCCATCGTTTTGGCATTTTTCAACGCATAATTTAATCGTTTTATCCCTTTCTGACACTCACGTAGACCTTTCTGCGCGACTGCATCATCATACCTTGGAGTAAGCAGATCGAGTAAACTCGCAATGTAGCAATCCAAATTACCGAAGAGTGACATAATAAAACACTTGTTCACAACACAATAATCTGGAACTGAATGAGAAGCGAGTTAAAGAAAAGTGGCTTTATACTTCTTTTAGTACGCATGCGCATTCACTTCCTTACAGGATTTCATTTAATGATAGTAGCAAGAACCTTTATTTATTAAAGTTACGTATGTGTCGGTGGATTGTAAGGAAAATCTGAAACAAAATAAATTTGTTTTTAAATTTTTTGAAAATATAAATAATTTTAAGAAAATACCCAAATTTTAATTCTATCGACATCATCAAAACTTATCAACTTTTTTGGTATTTTTTCGAATAAAATAATAACTTATACCCCCACCTCGAGATATACCACAAACGGAGGAAACCATCTTGTGAACACCTGCATCCTGTTATAAAATATGCATGTAATTAAATATTTCGTGAGAAAATGAAGCCGTTATCATTCCTAGAGATATTAAATTACATGCATATATTATAACAGGATGCAGGTGTTCACCAGATGGTTTCCTCATTTTGTGGTATATCTTGAGGTGGGGGTATAAGTTATTATTTTATTTGAAAAAATACCAAAAAAGTTGATAAGTTTTGAGGATGTCGATAGATTTAAAATTTAGGTATTTTCGAGTTTAATAAGAAATATTTTACCTTTTTCTACTTTAGATCCATATTTGACACTCTAGTTTTTAAAAATATTCATAAATATGGAGGTATATCTTGAGGTGGGGGTATAAGTTATTATTTTATTTGAAAAAATACCAAAAAAAGTTGATAAGTTTTGAGGATGTCGATAGATTTAAAATTTAGGTATTTTCGAGTTTAATAAGAAATATTTTACCTTTTTCTACTTTAGATCCATATTTGACACTCTAGTTTTTAAAAATATTCATAAATATGGAGGTATATCTTGAGGTGGGGGTATAAGTTATTATTTTATTTGAAAAAATACCAAAAAGTTGATAAGTTTTGAGGATGTCGATAGATTTAAAATTTAGGTATTTTCGAGTTTAATAAGAAATATTTTACCTTTTTCTACTTTAGATCCCTATTTGACCCTCTAGTTTATAAAAATATTCATAAATATGGTGGTTTATCTTGAGGTGGGGGTATAAGTTATTATTTTATTCGAAAAAATACCAAAAAAGTTGATAAGTTTTGAGGATGTCGATAGAATTAAAATTTGGGTATTTTCTTAAAATTATTTATATTTTCAAAAAATGTAAAAACAAATTTATTTTGTTTCAGATTTTCCTTACAATCCACCGACACATACGTAACTTTAATAAATAAAGGTTCTTGCTACTATCATTCAATAAAATCCTGTAAGGAAGTGAATGCGCATGCGTACTAAAAGAAGTATAAAGCCACTTTTCTTTAACTCGCTTCTCATTCAGTTCCAGATTATTGTGTTGTGAACAAGTGTTTTATTATGTCACTCTTCGGTAATTTGGTTTGCTACATTGCGAGTTTACTCGATCTGCTTACTCCAAGGTATGATGATGCAGTCGCGCAGAAAGGTCTACGTGAGTGTTCAGAAAAGGGATAAAACGATTAAATTATGCGTTGAAAAATGCCAAAACGATGGGTGAAAAACAGCATCTAGAAGCTTGCCTCAGAAACATTAAAACTTATCGTAACCAGGTAAAAGCTATGGTGAAAAAGGGGGCTGGGCTGCGAGCAGAGGGTGCCAGAGAACGTGTGAAATGGGATGATTCCGATACTGCATTTAACAGTCGCATCCTGACGGGAGTAATATCAAATATGAATCATAAGGATCCCAAAGCGTTCCTGATTGATGCTAAGGCTCTTTTTAAACGTAGGATACAGAATGTTTTAAGAAAAGATGCTGCTGTGAAGGTTAACACAACGTTTGGTGGTGAGTTTGAAATGGTAAAGGGAGATCGTGTACTTAATGAGTACAAGTACTTTACTACCTCTAATTCACCAATTTATAGAGACACCAATCTTGATAAATGGTTTGATGAAAAGGTTATTAAACCTATCATGAATAAGCTTGAAGAATTTCAAGAACGTGATAGTGGCTGGGCACTAAAACGAATTGTTAATTTAGGTGTAAACATAAACAAATTCACTTCTCAACTTGGATCTTCGTACATAGAACTTCCTCCTCAAATTAAACGAAAAGAAGCATGTATTAATATTAAGAACGATGATAATGCATGCTTCGCTTGGGCTGTTACATCTGCTTTATACCCTATTCATAAAAATTCAGATAGAGTTTCATCACTACTCAACTGTTCTCAAATTAAAAGGTATTCATTTTCCAATGACCTCCAAGCAAATTCCAAATTTCGAAATTCAAAATAATGTTTCCATAAATGTTTATATCCTCCAAAAACAGAAAAAAATCCTTTATTACTCTTCCCACTTATCTTACTAAAGATAAGAAAGATCAACATGTAAACCTATTGCTTATTCAGGATAAGTAGTATGAGGAGGGAGAGAATGTAAAATATCACTTTGTTTGGATTAAAAATCTTTCTCGTCTTCTTTCCAAACAACTAAGTAAGGAACATGGACAAAAATACTTCTGTGATCGGTGTCTTCATTATTTCCGTTCCGAATCAAAATTAAACAGCCATATTTAAGATTGTGAAAAATTAAATGAAACTGCTATTAAAATGCCCGAACCTGGAAAAAACATTCTCAAATTTAAAAACTTTAAAAACAAGGAAAAAGTTCCATTTGTTGTTTATGCTGATCTTGAGAGTGTTCTTAAACCGACGAATGATCCTAAAAAACCTCAACACCATATTCCTGCTGCTGTCGGTTATTACTTAAAGTGCTCTTATGATAATTCCATTTCGTTTTATCGATCAAATCGAGGTTTTGATTGCATGCAATGGTTCACTGATAAAATGGCACAACTTGCTGAATATATAGCAACTGTCTTTTGGTGTCCTTATGATATCCACATGACTCCTACTCAGGAAGCAGAATTTCAAAAAGCAACTCATTGTTATATATGTGAACAACCATTTACACCTGAAGATAAGAAAGTGCGTGATCATATTCATATGATCCCCGAATTTAATTATCGAGGCACCGCCCATGAAGCGTGCAATATCAATTTCAACAGTCCCAGTCGTTTTCCATAATTTAAGTGGTTATTATGCTCACTTCATTATTACCGATATTGCAACCAGAATGAATGGATCCATTGATCTACTGCCAATTACCAAGGAAAAGTACATCTCATTTACAAAACATATTAATGAGTATCCTATTCAGTTCCGTTTTATCGATAGTTTTCGGTTCATGGCTTCTTCTTTGGACAAGTTAGCTTCATACATGGACGAATTTCCTAATTCTAGGTCCCAATTTCCCTATTTACCTAGAGAACAGTTTAATTTATTAACTAAAAAGGGAGTCATGCCCTACGATTATTTCGACTCATTCGATCGTTTTGATGAAACCTACTTACCTCCAATCGAATCATTTTTCAACAAGTTGGAAGATAAGCCCTGCCCTCG